GCGAACCGCAGTCGACTACGTGGGAGTCCAGCGACATAGCCATTACGCTAACTGCTGGTTCCCCCTCACGTACTACGTTTGACGTGGGCTAAAATTTGGACGAGTTTGTGTGCAGGGGCTGGGGAAGGCTAAGAGAAGTCCTGCCGAGGCTAAACGCTGTCCCCTTACAGGCACAACTGCCCTGAGACCTGCCCAGAGATGACAAAGCCACATGGTAGTGGTGGTGGGGGGGCAAGCATGCCATCCATGTCGGCCCTCACAGGTAGCATGGCACACACAGGACCTGGGACCTTGATAAAGTGCAGATTCTGACCCTGTAGGCCAGAGCGGGCCTGAGGTTATGCATTTCGTTGTTTTGTTTTGTTTTGTTTTGTTTTGTTTTGCCATAGGGCATGTATGCTCACTGGATTGAGACAGAGGGAGGGAAAGTGAGAAATAACCCCTCAGGGCGGTGGCCATGCCACAATCACTTCCTCTCCATCCTCCTGAGATTCTGGGCACACGCGACTGGCATGATTTTCAAACCACCAGGTCCAGGATTTGAACCACAGTCAGTCATGTGGGAGTGTCCAGCACCTTAACCACCATGCCATCTGCTGGCCCTGAGCATGGAATTATTAAGTAGAGTATACTCTACTTTGCTTTTTTTTTAATGCAACATTATTTCCTTGAGACTTATCCATATTAACTTGTACAATTACTTAGTTAATTTTCAGCACTGTGAAATATTCTATGACTATTCCAAACGCTTTTAATGATCTCTTAATGGACATTATTTGATTTATTCATAGTTGGATTTTTTAATTGTTGTTTCCTTAATACTGCTAAGACCTTTCTTGTACATGTTTGTGATGCATAGATATGTGTTTCTCTGGGAAATATATTTAGTCATCGAAATGATTTTAGTCCATGGGAATATGCATCGCAAGTAAAATGCTAAAGTATTTTTAATGTGGTTGTACAACTTAAATTCTCTCTAGTAATCATGCATGACATTCCTGTCAACATTTAGAAGCAACAAGTTTTCCACTTTCCCACTACTCTGAAGTATCAGATGGTATCTCCTTATTTAAATTTCTTTTCCTAGTTACTATTTAAGCTTCTACTCATAACTTTGTGGGCCATTTGTATTTCCTCTTGTTTAAGTTACTTATTTTTGTTATTTGCCCCTGTTTCTGGTAGGTTATCTTTACTTGTTGATATGTAGATTTCCCCTATATGTCATATATAATGCCCTTTGTGGTTTTATTACTTTTTCTAAGTTTGTGGATTAGTTCTTTACTGTCTTATGATGTCTCTTCATAAAAACAGCTTCCTCTCGGGATCTTGGGCACGCACGCACACGCGCCTGGCGTGAGTTTTAAGCCACTGGGTCTGGGACGCGAACCGCAGTCGACTACGTGGGAGTCCAGCGACATAGCCATTACGCTAACTGCTGGTTCCCCCTCACGTACTACGTTTGACGTGGGCTAAAATTTGGACGAGTTTGTGTGCAGGGGCTGGGGAAGGCTAAGAGAAGTCCTGCCGAGGCTAAACGCTGTCCCCTTACAGGCACAACTGCCCTGAGACCTGCCCAGAGATGACAAAGCCACATGGTAGTGGTGGTGGGGGGGCAAGCATGCCATCCATGTCGGCCCTCACAGGTAGCATGGCACACAGAGGACCTGGGACCTTGATAAAGTGCAGATTCTGACCCTGTAGGCCAGAGCGGGCCTGAGGTTATGCATTTCGTTGTTTTGTTTTGTTTTGTTTTGTTTTGCCATAGGGCATGTATGCTCACTGGATTGAGACAGAGGGAGGGAAAGTGAGAAATAACCCCTCAGGGCGGTGGCCATGCCACAATCACTTCCTCTCCATCCTCCTGAGATTCTGGGCACACGCGACTGGCATGATTTTCAAACCACCAGGTCCAGGATTTGAACCACAGTCGGCCATGTGGGAGTTCAGCGGCTTAGCCACCATGCCACCTGCTGGCCTCCAGGTTCTGCGTTTCTAACAAGTTCCAAGAGCAGTGGAAATTACTGGTCTAGACTGAGTAGCAGGACTCTGGACCTCTCACTGCCCCTGGCCCCAGGAGAGACCAAGCACAGTGACTGCAAGATGAGAGTGGGGAGAGAAAAGAACTCAGCCTCCCTCCCCAGACACAAAACTCTAAGGCACAGGCCCAGCACGAGGAGACCAAGTTAAAGCCAGGCCGACAGGTGGGCTCTCCCGGTGTGTCTAAACGGTATGGCTGACCCGGGAGCCCGAAGCCGCCTACCTCCACAGTCTTTCTCATCAGACCAGTCCCCACAGTCGTTCTCGCGGTCACACTTCCACCTGTTGGGGATGCAGTGGCCGTTCTCACACCGGAACTGGAAGTAGCGGGAGCAGTTTGGGGCTTCCGTGGGGTTTTCTGGGGAGAGAACCACAGCCTCGGTCATTTCCCTCACACCACTGTGAGCACAGAGCTCCACCGTGAGCCTCATCAGACCGAGTCCCCGGGCCATTCATACTTCCCTGCCAGGGAAAGGCGGGGCGGCTTCACAGACCCATGGGCCAAAAATAAAATGCACCCACAAAGTTCAAGAGCCCACCTTCCCTAGCCCGACTCACGTTCCTCTGACCTCTACTCCCATACCTTGAGAATAACCTGGGTTATAATTTTGATACTTTGCCAAAGGAAAAGCCTGATTATTTATTTATTTATTTATTTTTGAGAGCTTTTTGCTACAGGGCGCGTGTGTTCGCCAGACAGACACAGAGAGACAGAAAGACAGAAAGCGAGAAATCACCCCCCCAGGGGGGATGGCCACACCGCAATCCCTTCTCCTCCATTCTCCTCTTGGGATCTTGGGTGCACATGCACACGCGCCCGGCGTGAGTTCTAAGCCACCGGGTCCAGGACGCGAACCGTGGTCGACTACGTGGGAGTCCAGCGACATAGCCATTACGCTAACTGCTGGTCCCTAGCCTGATTATTTACGATGACGCAATGATGATGATTCTATGACATGGTAGTCTATACACTGGGGAGAGGTCCACTTCTCTGTCTCCTGTCATTTTTTATCTACCTTATTCCTCATATAGAATGTGGTCTTCCCAAGTGGGGCAAGAAAAGGAAACAAAATAACACCTTCCCAATACCCCTAGGGGCAGGTTCCACTCCCAGGCTCAGTTCTCAGGGGGGATTCAAGCGCTGCAGGCACTTGCTGAGGAGGGAGAGGGGCAAGCCGTCTGCATGCACGTGTGCAGCTGGACACCCCCTGCACACCGGAGCCCCGGGACGGCAAGGTCGGGGTGAGGAGGCCGGTCTGAGCGCCCATACCGCAGTTGGCTTCGTCGGAGTAGTCGCCGCAGTCGTCCATGCCGTCGCACTTCCAGACCAGGCTGATGCACACGCCGTTCTGGCACTGGAAACCAAACTCATCGCAGGCCTTGTGGAACTCGGGGTCTTGGGCTACACGGGGACAGACAAGCACAGAGCCCAGGTTGCAGGACACAGCCCGTGCCCTCCTCCAAGGGTCTGTCTAGAAAAGGGCGTCTTGAAAGCAGGAGGCAAACCGAACCCGGTCTACCCTTCTTTGCCGAGAAATGTTTTGGGTTGAGTTTAGCCCCCTAGATTCACGTGTCTAAGTTCTAATCCCCAGTACTTCAGAAATGGGGCTATTGGGAGATAAGATCTTTAAAGAGATCATTAAAGTGAAAACGAGGCCATCAAGGTGAGCCCTCCTCAAACCCTGCCATGACTGGCCTGCCTAGAGAGGAAGTGTGGACACACGCGTGTGCGGAGGAAAGGCGTGTGCAGGCGTGGGGAGACGCCCAGCACTTGGCAAAGGAGAGCGGTGTTGGCAGAAACCCACCCTGCTGACCCCTGACCTGGGACCTCCAGCCTCCAGAACCGTGGAACAATCCAGATCTGCTGTGGAAGCCACTCAGCGTGGGACCTTGTCACAGCAGTGTGAGCACACGAATGGAAGAGTCGAGGCACACATGGCACCGCTGGAGCAAAGCCAGGGACCCAGGTACGTACAGCGGGGCTGCAGGTGCGGGGCGCGGCCTGAATAGAGCAACGCTCTCCCCTGGGCAGCTCCCACTCCAGGGTGGGGCGGCAGCAAAATAACCACAGCACGTGAAGTGGAGATTAGTGCCGAGAGTACAGCGGGCCCAGGAAGGGGCTCCGGAGTGACGGGGCGCTACTTCAGTCAGCACTGGCTGGGAGGGCCTCTCACACAAGGGGACACCGAGCCAAGACCTGAGTTCTTCCCCACCTCCCCTTTATACATAAACAGTCAGCCCTTGGACAACACGGGTTTGAACTACACAGGTCGGCTTAGATCTGGATCTTTTCAATAAATATACTGGGAAATGCAGTACCGCAAATGTATTTCTCTCCCCTGTGACTTTGTTAACAGTCCCTTTTCTCTAGCTTACTTTACCGTAAAAACATCCTATGTGACACATATATACAGAATGTGGGTTCACAGACCGTTGGCGGGGCTTCTGGTCAACCGCAGGCTCTCGGCAGTCAACTCTGTGGGGAGCCCGAGGTTGCCCGCAGCTCTCTGACCATGCGGGAGGGCACTGATGCTGGCGAACCCAGTTGTTCAAGGATCGCCTGCACCAACCAGCAGCAAGAAACACTCCTTAAGCCACCAAAGGAGTCTCCTTAGGAGAGGCGAGCTGGCCCGTGCCCTGGATGGAGGTGCACCCCAGGGTGGACACATCCCCGTGCGGGCTCCTCTGAGACCACAGTCACCTCCCCGCCTGCCCCACTCACAGCATCCGGCGAACGCCGGGTCCTCATCAGAGCCGTCGCGGCACTGGACGACGCCGTCGCACACCATGGGGCGGAACAGGCACTGCTGGCGGTTCTTGCACACGAAGTCCATGAAGCGCGTGCAGAGCGGCTCTGAGGGGTGCCGGGAGGGGAGGTCGTTAGCACCTGCGGCTGGCGGCCTGCTCCAGCCCTGGGCAAGCGCACAGAAGTGCAGCTGGAAACATGGCGAGGGCTGCCGTGTCTGGAGCCTGTGCCTGGCCGAGCCCAGGGCTGGAGCTTGGCTAAATCACATCATGATGCCCTTGACCTTCTGAGAGATTTTTACGGAGTCTGTTTCGAAGGCAAGTAGATGTGGTCGCTGCACTAAGAACTTGCAGAGAGCACACGGCAGAAGAGAGCAAACCCCAAACCGAAGCCTACGCTGTCCGACAGCGAGGCCATGACCTTAACCACCATCAATGTGATACAGGCTGGGGACCAGCAGATGGCGGAATGGTTATGTCACTGGACTCCCACGTAACTGACCACAGTTCAAGTCCCAGACACAGTGGTTGAAAACTCATGCTGGACGCATGTGTCATGTGTGCCCAAAATCCCAAGAGGAGAATGGAGGAGAGAAGGGAGGGGACTGAAGCATGGTCATCTCCCAGGAGTGATTTCTTACTTTCTGTCACTCTGTCTCTCCAATGAGCGCACACAGCCTATAGAAAAAAAATTCTTTAAAAAAAATATGATACGGGTTCTCTAACACAGGGTTGGTAAACCCCTCCTGTAAGGGTGTATGAACTAAACCATGTCCCCCCAAAATGCATATGCTGAAGCCCTAATCCCCAATCTGACTGCTTCTGGAAACAGAACCATTAAGAAGGTAATTTAGAGGCCAGCAGGTGACGTGGTGGTAAGGTACTGGACTCCCCACATGGCCAAACATGGTTCAAGTCCCAGACCTGGTGGCTTGAAAATCACACCAGGTACATGTGCATGCATGCCCAAAATGCCAAGAGGAGAATGGAGGAGAAGGGTTTGCAGCATGGCCATCCCCCAGGGGGGTGATTTCTCACTTTCCCTCTTACTACCTTTCTATCTCTCTCCAGTGAGTGCATGTGCCCTGGGCAGGGGGGAGACTAGGAAAAATTAAAATTAAAAAAATAAATAACTCTCTCCGGTGACTGCAGTGTGTCCCTAAAGACAAGCACAACTGACCCAAGACAACCATGTTGGGTCTAAGAAAACTGGAGAGGAAGAGGGTGACCTTGCCTGAAGTGCTTGCTAAGTGATAACCAGTGACTAATAAACCTAGTCAAGGAAGAGAACTGTCAACTGAAAAATCTCATTGTGGGCCAGGCAGTGGCACAGCGGGACCCACAAGGGAAAGGTCCTGGGTTCACATCCTGGGACCTCCCTAAACACAGCAGGTTCCTTCCTGTGTGCATGTGATCCTGGTCAGCCGGGCCCTGGAGGGGATCCTGGTGTGCGGGCCTGTCTCTCACTTTCATGGAAAGAAATAGATAAAAATGAACTTCAAGTTGAAAGAACCTGGTCAGTTCACAGAACAGATGGCAGCTAAACACCGACCTGCATGGAGGGATGAACTAATCATGCAAGTGCCCCGCTCCCCTCCTCCCTGCTCTCCTTGACCTCACCCAAGTCTCCCCACCACAATTAGGTTCTGAGAGGCTGGACAAGCACTTGCCGTCAGCTCAGTTAACAGCTAAGCGCAATCAGGCACTGGGAAAATGCAGGTCATGAGCTGGGAGGTGCGCTCCCCTCACCAGCGCGAGGGCCGTGGTGCTTCCCGGGGCAGGCCGACTCACCGCAGTGCTGCTCGTCCGAGCCGTCCGAGCAGTCGTGCAGCCCGTCGCAGTGCTTGCTGGAGGGGATGCAGGTGCCGTTCGGGCAGCGGAACCCATTGCACTTCTTCTCTGAAATTGAGTTCAGTGACAGAGAGGAATGACCGAGAGGACACACGCAAGCATTCGCATCCGCTGTCGGCGAGGCAGTCATTTCTACCACCCTTAGGGAGGGCCTTGGGCAACAGCCAGAAAAATGACAACTACACACACCGTGACCCAGCAACGCCACCGGAAGAGATGTATTGTTTTGTGTTTTTTTGTTTTTGCCGTAGGGTGTGTGCACTCGCCAGAGAAAGGCAGAGAGACAGTGAGAGGGAAAGTGAAATATCACCCCCCAGGGGGATGGTCATGCCACAGTCCCTTCTCCAGTCTCCTCCTGGGATTCTGGGCACACACACACAGCGTGAGCCTCACACTGCTGGGTCTGAGACTCCAGCTGCAGTTCACCATGTGGGAGTCCAGCGTCCCAAACAACCTGCCATCTGCTGGCCCCTGAACTGTATTTTTTTTTAGAAGAGAAAAAAGTTTCAGTGAATAGAAAAAAGGACATGAATCCTGATTATAAATTACTCTTTCTTTCAAGTTCTTTAAATTGCTCATCATCTCCATTCTTTGGGATTACTATAGCGAAGCCCTCCTGGAGAAAGTCTGTCCGGAAATGTTAAGAGCTTGAGGGGTTTTACATGGCTGTTTCGTGTGGCTCCGTTTCAGGGGAAATGAAACTAGAGTTTGTGACGTTTGGCCCAGAGTTTCTGCGCTGGGCAGGCCTCACTCTGAGTAGAGAGTTAGAACTAGACGTTAGACAAAGAATCTGCTCGAGAACCAGCCCAAGGCCTGGTGCTGAGGAAGCTGGACCTTACACAGCCAACCACATTCAAACTGGTTCAAATCCCAACCCCGGTGACTTCAGAAACACACTGGGCATATTGCATGCACCAAACCTTGACAGAATGGAGAAAAGAAGAAGGGACCACCCCACACATGGAGGTGTTCTCTCCCTCTCCATCTCTCTGTCTCTATGTCTCTCTGGCAAGCAGACACACTCTCTGATAATTAAATATAAGAAAATCTGTTGTAACAGGCCAGTCACAGTCTTTGTCAATCGAGCTCTTGGTAGAATACGTAGTTTGATGAAAACTGGGACCAGCAGGTGGCATAATAGTTACGTGGCTGGGCTCCCACGTAGTTAGTTGACCATGGCTTGAGTCCTGGACCCTGTGACTTAAAAACTCACACTGGGTGCATGTACATGTGTGCTCACAATCCCGAGAAGAAGGGATTACAGTGTGGCCATCCCTGGTGGGGAGGAGGGTGACTTCTCGCTTTCTGTCTGTCTGTCTCTCTGGCGAGTGCACTTGGCCTATAGCAAAAATCTCTTTAAAAAAAGGACATGGTGGCACCCACCCTACGGCATAAATAAAGAAACAAACAAACAAACAGAAACATGCAGCTTCATGAAAATTAAGATAAAGCAAAAAAAAAAAAATCTTAATCTTGTAAAAAGTTACCAGTCCTAGGAAATTACTCAAGAACAAAGCGGAGAGAACAGATGAGTGCCACAACTTAGGGAAATGTTAATGTCACTAGGTTGAAAAAGTGAAAAAATACAACAGACAAAAGAGGTACAGAGTAAAACTATTTGACCATAAATACACTCATTAATATAAACAAATGAAAAGATACAATGTAACACCAAGGAGAGGCTTGCAGAAACACACAATGAAGGGGACTTCAAAAAGCCCTGTTTGTGGAAAACCAAACTAAAGTACTCATGTATTTTGGTGCAAAAATTATTTTGAAATCCATATATAGTTTTTTCATAAAATGCCCTCTCCATTAATTTTTAAAGTATCTGCTTATTATTGGCAAAGGCATTTGGGTCTAACCCCTTGTAAATGAAATCTGGAAACATTTTAAGAGAATCATGAAAACTGACCAGAACCTTTAATCCATTAATTCTCTATTGAAGAGCATTCCCAGGTATTCCCAGGAAATACCTCGAATCACAAACAAGCCTTCATCTCCAAGGACATATATAGCAGTAAACTGAAAATTCTCAAAAGGGGGCCAGCTGCTGGTGTAGTGGTCACATCCCTGGACTCCCACATGGCCAACCACGGTTCAGACCCAGATCGGTGGCCTTGAAACTCACGCCTGGCGCGTGTGCGCGCATGCCCAAGATCCCAGGAGGAGAATGGAGGAGAAGGGATTGTGGCACGGCCATCCTCGCTGGGGGTGATTTCTCACTTTCCCTCTCACTGTCTCCCCTCTGCTCCCATCCTGACAAGTGCTCATGCCCTAAGGCAAAAACCTCTAAAAATAGAAAATACTCAAATGCCCACCAGCAAGCTACTGAGTAAATGAGGGTGTAGTTAAGGTATGGTGAATAGGCATCTTCCATAGCAACGCTAACTACAGGAAAATACAGACATGTGGACATCTCTGTTCGCTATTATAGTGTGGAAAGTGGAGAGGTGTAAGGTCACACAGACGCCAGCTACGATCCAAACATCTGGAATGTTTGACAGAAGGGAAGGACAGAGAACCTGCAAAAGACCTGGGATAAAATAAGGCATTTTATGCCCTTAGTGTGTGTGTGAGGACCAGGCCACGTAACACACCCGCTACATCACAGGGCAACACAGCACAGAACGCAGGGGCTGGTGTGGCTGTCAAAGTGGAAACGTGGCTCAGGAACAGAAGTCATCTCCTGGCCCGTCTGCTACTCCCTTCCCTGAGCAGCAGACACTGGGGGAGACCGAGCAGGAGCCGAAGCGGGTGCATTTACCACAGTTGACAGGGTCCTCGTCAGAGCCATCCTGGCAGTCCGTGTCGCCGTCGCACGCCCACCGCTGGGGGATGCAGTGGCCATTGCGGCACTGGAAGTTGGAGGCCTCGCAGGTGTGATAGATGGCTGTCAGGAAAGGAGAAGAGACACAGTCACAGCCCGCTCCACGCCAGGGCCCACAGGGTGGACTGAAAATGAGGCCCGTATACACCCCGCAGTGAGGTATGGACTGCCGGGCCCACGAGTTTTCCTCCACAGGAACCAGGTAGCCCTGAGGGGAGGGCGGCTTCCTCTGGAGGCAACGACTGGGCGGTACAGGTTTAGGAACTTTGCATCAGCCATCACTACCGTGCAAAGACCCTTGCGTTCCACAAGGACCCTGGAGGTGCAGTGTTCCTCCCTCACTGGTGAGAAAGGGGCTTGGAGAGGGGAAGAAACTTAGAGACGATGCTTAGCCATTGTGAATACTGCTGCAATAAACACGGGAAGTGGATGAACAGGGAAGATTTACTACTAGGCAAAGCAAGCCAGACTATGAATGACTGGCATTGTATGTCCCCACTTAATACATACTGAATGTCGGGACCTGCAGAAGGCGTATTGGTTACGTCGCTGGTCTCTCACAAAGTCAACCACGATTGAGTCCCAGACCCGGCAGCTTAAAAATCACACTGGGCGTGTGTGTGTGTGTGTGTGTGTGTGTGTGTGTGCGTGCCGTGTGTGTGTGTGTGTGTGTGTGTGTGTGTGTGCATGCCCAAGATCCTGAGAGAATGGAGAAGAAGGGATTTCAGCGTGGCCATCCGCCTGGGGGGTGATTTCTCACTTTCTGTCTCTCTTTCTGGTGAGTGTACATGCCCTAAAACAAACAAAAAAAATCTCTCTTAAAAATCTCTCTCTTAAAAAAAAAAACTACACACACACACACACACACACACACACACACACACAATGTCTGCACTCTATGGCAGAAATTGAAAGGAGAACAATGGTGGGTACTAGAGACAGTGCAGGAGGAGGTGGGAAATGAGGACTGAGAGGGAGGGAATCGGGAAAAAATAAAATAAAACACTTAAACACAGAAATGGAAAATTATCTGTTGATAATGGGTACAGTAATAGCTTTGAACAGACTAATTATACAGCGTATTCGGGTTGGGGGAAAAACATGAACATGGTTATATTATTTATACCAGCCTAACTAATATGGGTTTGATGTAAATATGAACATTAAATTTGAAGTTTCAATGATAAAAAGCAAGAAACTATATAGATGATGACACAATCACACCGGGCTGTCGAAGCCGAAAGCCCACACCGTTTCTCCCTACTGCGCCACTGGATCCTCTCACAGAGACCCTCCACATCCAGGCCCTGGGCAGGAAGGAGAGGGGTCGTGTATGGAGGAGACTGAATTTCAGACCCGATCTAGCCACCGTCCGGAGGTCTCGATGCCAACATGCTGATTTCTAAGGGCTCCTCTAAGTGCTGAAAGGCCATAACTTCCTAATTCTTAAGAACACCCAGCTTCTGGGGCCAGCAGGTGGCGTGGTGGTTAGGGTGCTAGACTCCCACGTGGCCGATGACGGTTTGAGACCCAGATCTGGCGGCTTTCTCTCTCTTTGTCTCTCTCACTCTGTCCCTCTCTGGTCAAATTAAAATATATTTAAAAAATGAAATAAAGTTCAATAAAATAATTCTTTTAAAAAAAAATAGAAACTACCCAGCTTCAAAGGTGAAAAATTCCAGGCCTAAATAACATAAAATACTCATCTGAAATCACAAATAAAGCAGTTCTCAAACCCAGAACTGTCTGTCGGCGGCGTCGAGAGCGACATTACCGGCCAATGATGTGTGGTGTCCCCCACAATCTCTAAAGGAAAAGAGGGTGCTGGTGAAACAGGCTGCTACACATGAGCAGCCTCATTGCACACGTGGGCCAGGGCCACCTGGAAGGCATTTAGAAACGTCTCAAACTCTCAAACACTAGTTCAAATGTGTAGCACCTGCCTCCAACCCACACCGCCTTCTCCATCGGATTTCCTCTTCCTCCTCTGAACAGAAGCCCGTGTGTGTCTGTTCACCGCTGCGTGAAAGCCAGAACCAGCTTTGTTTATAGCCAGCACGCACGGACAGAACCGAGACAGACAGGCTCTCTTGGTCTGACTGTGTGGAGAGGATGTCTTCACAACAGAAAGAGGCAAAGCAAACCAAAGCGGCTTGTTGACAGCAAACTAGAGCTTTTGTTTTAAAGAATTATTTATTTCATTTTATTTCTTCTTATTATTTTAATTCCTCACCAAAGAAAGACAGAAAGAAAGAGAGAGGGAACATGAGAAAGCAAGCCCCCAGGTCCAGAACTCGAATCACAGTCGGCCTTGTGGCAGTCCAGCACCTTAGCCACCGTGTCACCTGCTGACCCCAAACGACAGTTTTTTTTATTCAATTGAGATGGACAGCAATATGCTGCTCAAAAATTGGGAAAACTGGCTTAGTGTATTCTCTAGAACTTCTCCTGAATTTGAGACAGTCTTTTTGCTTTTATTTTTTATTTTTGTATTGGTCAGAAATATGTAAAAACCTGGTTTATCAAACCAGTTTTCCAACAAGTATTAGTCTATTATCTGACCCTTCTCTTCTTTCTGAGGTTGTATTTGGCTGCATGTAAATAAATCTACAGGAAGTTTCGATATTTGCAGCCATTGGCATTCAGAATCCTTTAAGCATCTTTTTAAAGCACACAACACAGATAAGAGGAATACATGTGTCACATGTGTCACGCGTGTTCCATGGCTCTGCCCCACTAATGCCACCACTCGGCATACTTCTCATTTATTGCTGTTACAGCCCAACCGACTTTAAATTCCTCATGGAACCCTTACTCACTGTACTAAACTGATCGCTATGAAAATCTACTGGTTATTAATCAGCCTATATTGTTTTTTTGAGTGGTTTTTGCTATAGGACACGTGCACTCGCCAGAAAGAGAGACAGTAAGTGAGAAATCACCACCCGGGGGGGGGGGGGGGCGCCACAAACACACTCCTACACCCCCCCCCGGGGGGGGGGTTGGCCACACCACAATCCCTTCTCCTCCATCCTCCTCTCGGAATCTTGGACATGCAGGTACATGCACCTGGCGTGAGTTTAAGTCACTGAGTCTGGGACTCGAACCACAGTTGACTACCTGGGAGTTCAGCACCATAGTCATTACGCCAACTGCTGGTCCTACGTTTTGTTTTTAATTGAGATCTCAGCAGGCTAGTGGAGTTTCCAAATGACAGTTCTGAGAGGCACGTCTGGGACCTCCAGGCTCCACCACAGAAGCTGAGCTCAGAAAGACTCTTCTCTGTGTGATGTCGGTCCTGTAGGAAGGGATGACTGGAATGCACGACACGGTCCCTCGTCCTGAGTCTCTCTGCCTTCCGAGGACTTCCTCGCTCCTTCGTTCTGAATGCCTGGTAACTAATGCATGCCCAGTAAACATGTAAACTTCCTAATGCTCAGGATGGCAGAGGATGACTTCAATCTAGACCAAGGAATCTGGGGGGAAATAAGAATATTTACATGGGGCCCAGCAGATGGCGTAAGGGTTACGTCGCTAGACTCCCACGTAATTGACCATGGTTTGGGTCCCAGACCCAGTGGCTTAAAACTCATGCCAGGTGCATGTGTGTGTGTGCCCAAAATCCCAAGAGGAGAATGTTAGAGAGGGGATTGTGGTATGGCCATCCTCTCTGGGAGGGTGATTTCTTACTTTCTGTTTCCCTGGCGAGCACGTACATCCCATAGCAAAAATCTCTCTTAAAAAAGAATCCTCTGCATGGTACAACTCACTGTGACTGTAAGAATGGCAGGGTTAGTGGGGTAAACAATTGGAACTGGAATATCAGTCTAATACAGGTAAACACCCCACAATCTACTCTTTCACTTAGATCTCTCCTGACTCATCAAGACCTGCCAGAACACCTGATGAAAAGCATTAGCCATACATAAGGAGGGTAGAGCAGATAAATTAAGTAGCACCACGAGGAAAGGACCGCCTCATCTTACAAAGCGCTAGACTACTGGGCAGTGCGTGAGGGATGGACATGCAGCTATAAACACATTCTGATGATTAATTACCTAAAAGAAAAAAATAGAAAATAGAAAGAATGAACAATGAAAAGACTGTAAAAAGAACCTGAAAGAAAACGTAGACAAAAAAAAAATACAGTCATGGAAATAAAAATAGTTCAGCAGATAGGCGAAACAGCAGATTCCAACAGAATCCGTTGAAAAGACAATCGTTGAAATGGAAGACAAATCTGAAGTTAGGGGCCAGCAGGTGGCAAGGTATCCCACATGGCCAACTGCAGTTTGAGTCCTGGACCTGGCAGCTTTCTTTCTTTCTTTCTCTTTCTCTCTCTCTCTTTCTTGCTTTCTCACTTTCTCTTTCTCTGTGTCTCTCTCTGGTGAGAGCATATGGCCTGTAGCAAAATATAATAATAATAATAATAAATCTGAAGGAGTCATTCAAATTCTAGCAGAGCCATAAATAGAGAGCAAACATAAAAGCACAAGGTGGGCCAACAGGTGGCGCGGAGGTTAAGGCAGCTGACCCCACATGGCCGACTCTGTGGTTTGGGTCCCAAGCCTGGTGGCTTGATAAACACTCCAGGGTCATGTGCATGCATCCCCAAAATCCTGAGAGAGGAACGGAGGAAAAGGGACTGCAGCATGGCCATCCCTCCAGGAGGGTAATCTCTCACTTTCCCTCTCTGTCTCCCTCTGCGTTTCACTCTGGTGAGCACATGTGCCCTCTAGCAAAAACAAAGAAACAAACAAAAAAAACAAAGAAACAAACAAAAAGCAGAAGAGTGAACCACAAAAAGAGGCAACGGAAGAAAAGGCAGAAGGACGTCTCGGGAGACCAGACCAGGGGAGTAGCCAACGGGAATAGCCAGAGAGTTAGTGATGGTCATTTCTCAAAATTGACAAAAACACAGATTCTTAGGTCTTACAAAGAAAACAAGTGTCAAGCAAGATAAATAAAAATAATTCCAACAAGAGGTGAAACTAGGCAACAATAACAAAACCTCGACGAGAACGACAGAAAAAAGGATGCCGTCATTTGCACAGGGAATCTGATGGCGGAATTTTAAGTCAGCACAGAAGAGACCAGAAACAACGAGCAGAAGCCTATCAAAATCCTTAAGGAAGATCATTACAAACCCAGAAATCTAGAGCTGTCTGAATTCAACACTGAGGGGTAAGTACAGACATGTTTATACGGAAAAACCTGGAAAAAGTTCCCCATCCACAGCTCCTACTCCAAGAGGCACTAAAGGGAGGTAAATGAAAGATGCTTGACACGAGAGGCCAAGGTGGTGGCGAAGAGGTGCAGACAGACCTATTAAGTAAATAAATAATTAAGTAAATAAGTTTGGTTATAAAAAAAAAATCACTAATTTTAGGATTTTGTACATATAAAATGAAAATATACTATCTATTTAGTCTTTAAAAAAAATTAGAACCATGGACAGAGATTTGAATGGAAGCATTGTGAAATCCTTGTTTATCTGGGTGAGGGGAAATATGTTTTTTTTTTTTTAAAGAATTATTTTATTTATTTATTTGTTTGTTTTAATTTGCCCAGTGGGAACCACAGAGAGTGAGAGAGGGAAAGTGAGAAAGCAAGCCACCAGGTCCGGGACTTGAACCAGGATCGGCCATGTGGGAGTGTCCAGTGCCTCAATCACCATGCCACCTCCTGGCTCCAGAAGGGAAATATGTTAAGAAGAGGGCCGGCAGGTGGTGTGGAGGTTAAGGCACCGTAGCCCACACGTCCAGCTTCACAGTCCTGGACCTGGCAACTTGAGAATTATGCCAGGTGCCTGTGCATGCCCAAAATCCCTAGAGGAGAATGAAGAAGGGATTGCGCCATGGCCATCCCCCATGGGAGGGTAATTTCTTACCTTCCCTCTCTCTCTGGCAAGCACACATGTTCTATGACAAAAAAAGAATACTCATAAAGTGTCTAAATATTGGGACCAGCAGATAGCACAGTAGTTACATTACTGGACTCCCGCATGGTCGATGGTAGTTCAAGTCCCAGGTCCAGTGGCTTGAAACTCATGCCAGGTTCATGTGCATGAGTGTCCAAAATTCCAAAAGGAGAATGGAGGAGAAGGGACTGCTGTGTGCCCATCTTCCCCGGGTGGTGATTTTTAACTTTCTGTCTCTCCGTTGAGCACACATGCCTATAGCAAAAATCTCTCTCTCAAATAAAAGAAAAATATCTAAAGGTTAACAGCTAAGAAAAAAACAGACATATACATTCAAAACCAACAGGAGGTGGTTTGAAAGGAACAAAGACAGTACCTAAGAAAGCTCAGTCTCACGGAAGGCAGGTGGAGGGAGCGTAGAGAATACATAGCACAGGGCCTGCATGTAGCTGAGGCCACCGGGAGGGCAGGTGGCCTGGCCTGCCCACTTTGGCGCTGGACGTAGCTTAACTTATTAATAGCAGGGCATGAAACAAAGCATCACGCCACACAGCAGCACGAGCTCACATCTGACTTTCAACTATTTTGAGGTGATGGAGGACAGCATCCTGAAAAGGGGTGAAAGAACAGACACTGGAACGGGGCCGGGGGGCATTGGAGTGGCAAGAACTCTCCATTTCCTCCAGGTAGCTCAACCAGAAGCAAACCAGCCAGAGGGGAGTTTCTCACAATCCCTACCTCTCTCAACCCCTGACACACACACGCAGAAACGAAGTTATTACTTCATTCTGGGAGACCGGCTCACGCTGGGGAACCATCAGTGTGACTAAAGCGGTTGTGCTAACGAGATGCACAACCACACTGCAGTTTACACGCCAGCTGCCCGCGTGCACCCCTCCGATTCACTGAGTAATCATTCGGCCAAAGCCACGCCTCCACACAGCACTCTGTGCTTCCAGGCTGACGGCAGCTCCTCTGTGGACCTTGGCTGCACCTGCTGCAGGCATGTGGATGCACAGACAGGCACTGCCCTGCAGTCTTTCTAGAAGCAGAGGTGCAGACATGAGGCTGTCCAGGAAAGGACATGGGAGACCTTTCAAGGGGAAACAATCTGGCCAGACCATGGAACATCCTCTGTGATGTACATGGCATTCGAGGAGATCCGTGGACCTCCTTACGGCCATATAAGGTTACCTCCAGGGGGCCAGCAGGAGGCGTGGTAGATGGCCGACCACGGTTTGAGTCCCAGACCTGGCAGCTTGCTTTCTCACTCTCTCTCTCTCTCTCTCTCGCTTGCTCTCTTTCTCCTCCTCATTCTGTCCCTCTCTGGTCAAGTTAAAATAAGTTAAATAAAATAATTCTTTTTTTAAAAAAAAGAGTCACCTCTCAAGTGAAACTAAGGGAGTGAAACAGTTGCCGGAATTACTCAGTCCCTAAAGGTACTCTGAGCGCACACTCTGCAAGTGCTGGGCGTCATGGGAAGTCAGGGGAGGAAGGACAAGGTCACCCCTGTCCTTCGAGAACCAAAGCCAATCCAGGATGCAGCGCACGGGCATTCACATCTGAGACGACCTTCTCTGCCTTTGTGTTTACCAACTAGTGGCCCACTTTGCACCAGATGCTGGACAGTGCAGGAAGTGTCGGGGTTCTCCAGGCACCGGGGAGGTTAAGATGTGGGATTTAAAATCAGTCCAATAATTCACAAAATAACGACCGACCCCAGATGGCTGAGACATCGACTCCACAATAAACTGCAAAACACCACCAAATTATCAGTTGGAAAAAGTGGATCTGGGAGCCAGCGATGGCGTGGAGGTTAAAGTGCTGGACTCTCACATGGCTGCCCACAGTTCGAGTCCCAGACCTGGCAGCTTGCTTGATCATTTTCCCCTCCTCTCACTCTGTCTCTCTGGTCAAATTAAAATAATAATAATAAATAATAATAACAAATAAAATTAACTGAGGAAATACTTTTTAAAAAAGGGGAGGAGGAATCTGCCCTGACCACAAAATAGTTAAGTTTGTATCCTGCCTCCCTCCCTCTGTCTCTACCGGTCAGAGTTTAAGGGAAAACCGAATGACAGCTCACAGAGGAGGTTATAGAGCAGATTTACTCATCGCATCATGTATTTTTTGACAAGTCATAATCGTGTATAATTATGGGATACAGAGTGATGGTTACTAAGTAGAATTTGTTATTACTCCACAACCATACCAACTCCGGGTACTACCTGATGCTTCCCGCCACCCTGCCTCCACTCTGGGATGGATACGGCTTCCAATCATTCATTCATTCATTCCCTCATACAAATAACATCACGAACATGAGTGAACCCAGTGGAAGAACTAGAACGTTATTCCCACCTCATACCTCCTGGTCCCCCCACCTTCATGGAGTTTGCAACTTTATAGTTACTAAATCTTTTCATCTTTTGGCCTCCAAACTAGGGGCCAGCCTGCGAATTGAAGGTCCGAAGCTTAAGTCGGAGCGTAAACTGGCTCTGCCGCTCAGAGCGCTGTGTAGTGCAGCGGCCTTTCTCGGTAAGACCTTCTCGAGGAAGCGGACTATCGGCTCACACCGTGCAGCTTCTCTCATCACAGATCAGATGCTGGAGAAGCCCCGAACCAGGCCACGTCTGAACGCCAAGTTGACCCTCAGAGCCCAGACTTTATGGTCGTTTAGAACCATGCCGCGAACCAGCACGGGAGCACAGGAGTGCTGGCCGCTCAGCTAGGAGGTACTGACCGGTGCAGTTGGCCTCGTCAGACCAGTCCCTGCAGTCGTTGTCCCCGTCGCACACCCAGGAGGAGCGGATGCACATGCCAGAGCTGCAGTTGTACTCGTCACTTCGGCACTGGTGCATTTCTGCAGGTGAGACCACAGACAGCGCTTCTCAGTTTCTGTCTCTACTGCCAGAACTCACAGGAGTAAAGATGAACACATCTCCACGGGTTATCCAGAGAGCATGGGCAGAGAAGGCACCAGAAATGGACAGTCTAGGGCCTAGGCTAGATCTAGGGTAGGTTCCAGTGAGATTGCTGCAAGTAGGTTATGATGTGCTGACACACTGATACCCCAAGACTCTTTTTTTGGAGGATTTTTGCCATGGTGCATGTGCACTCACCAGAGAGAGACAGAGACAGTGAGAGGGAAAGTGAGAAATCCCTCCCTGGAGGGAGAGCCACACCACAATCCCTGCTCTTCCATGCTACTCCTGGGATTTTTGGGCACACATGCACCCAGTATGGTTTTTAAGCTATCCAGTCCAGGACCCAAACCACAGTCAGGCATGTGGGAGTCCAGCAACGTAACTACTAGGTCATCTGATGGTCCCCCAGGTATTTCTAGACACTTACCAACCAGTGGTCCTCAGCAACAGAGAAAGCTTTATCTATTTAACCAAGTGCGCTCCACAGACATGATCCCTTTCTACACTTGCTGTGAGGGGAGGAAGATTTGAAAGCAGTAACTGAGACAGCTAGGGAGTAGAACTAGCAAGAAATGCAAAATGGCTAGAGACGCAGCCTGTGGTTTGAGAGGGAGGCGTGAGGCCTGTGTGTGCCGACCTCTGGGAGTTGCTCAGCTCAGGGAAAGTGGGGCCAGGGCTGCGTGTCCATAACGGAGAAAACACAGCCGGGGACTTCGTGTAGCAGGGCCCCAGGGGGTTGGTGTCTGTGCTGTTTCTACAAGGCCTGGTGCAAACATACCAGCACAGCTCAACAAAGACACGAAAGCAGGCTTTTCTGGCCAAGTCCTTCGTAGGCTCCAGGGAGATCATTAAAACAGAATGCTATGGTCTGAATTTATAAACAAAAGAAATTGGTTTCTCCTAAGTTTGGAGGCAGAGAAAATTCAAATGTTGAAAATTCATATATATGTTCCCATTTATTCCTATGTTAAAATTTAAAACTGGCATGTTGAGACGTAATCACTGATGTGACAGCATTAATAGGTGGGATCTTTTGGGATAATGACGTCATGAGGATGGAGCTCTCGCAAATGGGATTGGTGCTCTTACAAAAGGGACGAAGGAAGTACTCCCCACCTCTGCCCAGCAAGGACTCAGAGAGGAGGGCATCTGGGGAGATGGGCCCTCACCAGGTACCACATCAGCCTGTGTCTCGACGCAGACTAGGAGTAATCCGTTTCTGGTGAACAAATTGCTCAGTCTGAGGTATTTTGTTACAGGAACCCAGATGGACTGAAACGTGGAACTTTCATGTGGAATTTCAGAGAGGATCAGCAAATAGGCCCCAGGCAGCTGCCCTGGTTGCCGAATTCAAGAGACCGGCAGACTACAAAGGTGAAGAGGCAGGTACTTAAGAGGAAGGAGCCTGCACATTTATGAAGAGGGCCTGCATCCCAGGAGGGTCCTGACAGGATGGGGTGGCCTCCGGACAGGCTGAGAGCTCCAGGCAAGCCTACTGGGTGACCTGGATGACTGGAAACAGCCACCAGGGGGGGACTTCCTTGTCTGGAGCAGCACTAGCTGCACCCAACCATGCGAGCCAGCCGGGAGGAGTGAAAGCAGTTGTGAACCCCAAGGACGTGTTTCCTAGCACTCAATGAAGGAAAATTATGGACTAGAAACACAGACCCTCCGAGAGCTAGCTGGGGCTATTGTCTGTGAGAGAGGCCCGGGATGAGCTGTGAGTTCACTTGTGTTCATGTGAGTTCCAAGCAGCCCCTGCACCCCTCACTGCAGTCGCTGTGATCGATCGCCTCTCCTACACAAGTAGGCCCTGTCCATGTGCACAAGCACAGCGTGGCTGGACCTGCCCCCATGGACAGGGACGGAGCAGCTGTTAGGGCCATACCAACCCTCACCATGTCTGGGTCGGCGTCTGGTCTCTGTTCTCACTTCCCCTCGTGCCTGCGGCTCCTCGGCTCTGCCGCACTCTGCAGATTAGCCTAACGTCAGCCCCCGAGAGTCTGGGACCAGGGTCTGTAAACCTAGCTGGTCTCACGAAACCAACTCGGCGGGGTTGCACAACAGCGAGGGCCTGGGATTAGGAAAGAGCAGATGTGGTTTCCGTTCCTCTTCCTGACACCAGCCAACTGAGTGAGTTTCCTGACAACCAGAGACCTCAGTCACTGCATGTGGAAAGTCAACGGATGGAACTAGAGTCCCAAACCTTCGTCATAATTGTGACACACTTTACACACGAACGTGTCCACTCAGAAGGCAGGTGTCCGGTCAATGCCGGAGCGTCCGCTGACTTCCTCTGGAGGGTACTGAAGGACACTGGTTGAAACACAGTTTACAAACGCAAGGGCACAGACCTGCTCGGAGGCGAACCTCGTACTCACGCACGGGCGAGCCGGCCCTCTGCTGGCAGCCCTGAATCTACTCAGTGCTCTCCTTCCTGACTCAGTTCGACCTGGCCACAGCTCCTAGGTAAAGCTGGCTCTACTCCCCAGTTCTCAGACTAGAAAACACGGGCTGACCCAAGAGGGTGGTAGAGACGAGAGCTGGCTCCAGGCTCCATCTTTCCGACCATGAACCCAGCATCCTCTTAACTCCAGAGCAAGTGTTTCTAACGGAATTAAATCCTCACAGAAAAAAACAGCAAACAGGCTAAGAAGCCAACGGAGAGGGGGATGACCCAGCAGGGGTGCAGGTGGTCATCCAGATGGGCTGTCCTCACTCCTGCTACGTATAAGAAATCCTCCATGGGGCCAGCAGGTGGTGTGGTGGTGAAGGTGCTGAACTTCCACGCGGCCAACTCTACATTGCTGGACTCTCACATGGGCAACCATGGCTTGGAACTCACACTGGGCACGTGTGCATGCATGCGCAAGGTCTCAGAGGGAGAATAGAGGAAGGACTGCAGTGTGGCCATCCCTCCGGGGGCGCGATTTCTCACCTTCCCTCCCTCTCTGTTTCTCTCTCCCTGGCAAGCACATGTGCCCTAAGGCAAGCCTTTAAAAAAATAATAAAAAAGGAAGGAAAAAAAAAAATCACACCGGGTACATGAGTGTGCATGCCCAAAACTCCCAAGAGGAGAATGGAAGAAAAGGGACTGTGGTATGGCCATCCCTCCTGGGGGGTAATTTGTCATTTTCTGCCTCTCGGGCAAGTGTATGCTCTCTATAGCAAAAATCTCAAAAAAAAGAAAAAACCCGAAAAACAAAATCCTTTATTTCCAGCCCACTCCATGCCCCCCACCCAGGAGCACAGCTAGTGAACAAGCCTGACACCCTCCCTCCAGAACAGGATTTCTGAACATGGCGCCCCTTACCACAGTGACTCTCATCACTGTTGTCTCCACAGTCATCCTCGAGGTCACATTTATAGGACAGTGGGATACAAGTCCCAGACTCCTGACAACGGAACTGGGTGTCCAGGTCACAGACGGTGGTAGCTAAAACGAGAGAGGCAGAGGACACACTTGTTAGGCATAGTTAATTCCCCCCAGACAAAAACATAGCCCTGGAACACCGATGGAAAACTAGAAGGACGCTGACTTCAATGGTCACGACAGAAATTCATCCTAGACTTACAGAAGAAATAAAGCTGCATGAGAACCTGCAATTTACAACCCAGGGAGATAAGAGTGTATCCGTCCACAGCCAGCTTCCAGATCAGAACAGGCTGGGAACAGGGAGAAACCGTCATTTGCCCAGAAAGACAGTGGTGGGCTAGGTTCCCTCCTCAGATCCCTTTAGACACAAAGGTTTGCAAACAAGAAGATATCTTCCTTTAGTGAGAGAAAGGCCTTTATCTACAAAGCTACCATCAGGGAAGCCCGATTTCACACAAGACGCCGACACCTCTCTGATAGAAAAGAGCATGGAGGTAACTTCTCAAAATGCGCTGTCTGCAGGCAGTTGAGGTTGACTTTATTTTTTTGTTGTTGTTATACGGAGCAAGGTTCACCAGGGAGACAGAGAGAGGGAGAGAAAGTGAGGTCATACCCAGGGGGGTACAGCCACACGGCAATCCCTTCTCCATTCTCCTCTTGGAATTTTGGGCATGTCCACTAGGTCAGGGACTTGAACTGCAGTCGGCCATGTGGGAGTCTGCTCTAGACCGCTTCCTTGGGCAATTCACTTTAATCTTCCTGAGCCTCAGTTTCTTCAACGGTAACAGGTAGGTGAGGCCATGTGACCATGCACTTGTGACCACAGAAAGGCCAGATCTGGACCTTGTCCTACCACCTGACAGAAGGAGACTGTCTCCCTCCCCTGAATAGACTTCCTGGGATTAAGCACAATCCCTAGAACCAGGGAAAGACAGTCCGAGAAGGGCAGGAGGAAGGGAGCAGCCAAAGGGTTGGCACGGAAGGGACGGTTCGGCACGGCAGAATCCTGGGACGGAGGTGGGGTGCACCGTGGTGGCAGCACCGCTGTTCCACATGCCGGCAGCTATTATTTGAGGCTCCATTTCTTCTCTGTAATTGAGCTCGTGGTGGGAGGCAGGGGATGAATGCAAAATGACAAGACTGCAGGGGATTCGTGTCAAAACCCTGAGCGTCTGACAACCACCCAGCTGGAGGAGTCTGTTTAAAAGGGAGGAACGTGGCTGCCAACCTCCTCCCGGTCCCCTTCCCTTCCATGGCAGCTTCACTTAGCCCACGCAGCACCCAGTCATACCTGGCCCTCTCCTGCAGTCCAGCCTGTGCACAGGGCGCCTCTCCCCATCCCAATGAGCGCCCCTCTCCTCCATGGCGAGGGGCTCCCTTAGTAAGGCAAGTGCAGGGAAGGGCCATGTCGGCCACCTCAGATCCCAGACTAATCCTCATCTCACCTCTGCCCTAGTTGACATGTGGGGAGACCCAGGGGACAGTAGAGCAAAGCAGCGCTTGGGGTTCAGGACAGTGGGTTCCTGCAGACTTTCACTCCAACCAGGGAGAGGGCAGGGCCAGCTCCAACCTCAGCAAGGGCTGGAGCTCAAACTGCATGAAAACTGAGGCTGAGGCCACAGCAGAGCTGGGAGGCTGGTGGGAGGACAGCGCTAAGGGCTGCAGGCTCCCCAGTAGAAGGGCCAATATGGGGACCAGCAGTTAGTGTAATGGCTCTATCGCTGTACTCCCATGTAGCTGACTGCGGTTCGAGTCCCAGACCAGTGGCTTAAACTCATGCTGGGCGCATGTGCGTGCGTGCCCAAGATCCCGAGAGGAGAATGGAGGAGAAGGAATTCTGGCGTGGCCATCCCCCGGGGGGGGGGGTAATTTCTCACTTTCTGTCTGTCTGTCTCTCTCTGTCTTTCTGGCAAGTGCATGCGCCCTATAGCAAAATCCTCTCAAAAAAAGGGGGGGGCAATATAAAGAGGCAGCCTGTCCATCTAAGAGAAGCCACACTTGAAGGCACGGGGAGGAATGCTGCTCAGATCCACTGGACACAAGGTCACCTAGTCTGCTCCTCTTGTCCCACTGCACCTCATTCTGTCTGAGCAGTTCTCTTGCAAATCGCTCCTTCTTAGAAGCACCTCCACTGCCACCCTGGGGGTGGGGCACTAAGCTCCCTCCCTTACCTGCTTCAGATCTGTTAAGGAGCAGTCAAGTTATGAAAGAGCTCTGGCTGTTCCCCACCAGTGCCACACCTTCCTTAGACTGGCAGAGAGAGGGCTTTACTGTGTCCTCTTTGCAGAAAAACCAGACAGACACTGAAGCCCTCGTGCTTTCTTTCCCAAACCTGCCACTGGGTAACCTCTTATCCCTGGGTGTGAGAGGCAAACACTGAAGCCGAGGAAATAACGAAGGAAAGGCTTCAGAAATAACCTCCAGGGAGCCACAAGGGCCGAGGGCCGGCGTGGAGCCCTGCGGGGCCCGGGTGAACTTAATGAGTTGAAACCCCTGATGGCGCTTTCTGGGTGAAGCAGATAGGGACCTGGCACAGGCTCCACGGGTGACCTGGAGCTGTTAATCTGTCTTTATGGTGCAAAATGGAAAGGGAGCCTCTGGGTGGCCCAAGGTAAAATGATCAGGAGAGGCCTCCTGCTGTGGTTGCTGGCTTCATCTCTGGTTCGTCTCCACCCCATCCACGCCACCCCCTGCTCAGCCTTTCACAGGCAGAGCTGTGTCCTGTGACTCAGTGGTTCTCGGCTGCTCCTCTGGTCAGGTCCATATGGCCCTTGCTGACCGGGACCCTGGCCATCCAGCCTCCCTCACCTCACCTCTCCTGCCCTCCCAGGTCTTGGGGACCAGCTTCCTGCCCGTGCTGCATCCACCCCGAGCCCTGGCGAACTCACACTTCAGGGCCAACGACCCTCTGCCTGCTTCCCCTGCTCAGCTCTCCTCACACCCCTCAGGGCTCTTCGTGAGCACCGGCCACGATCCACCTTGGCGCCCACCTCCACGCCCGCGGGCTTCTCCGTCATGGCACCCCTGCTCGGCTGCAGCTGCCTGTCCCCTTCTCTGACTCCCCTCAGCTGTAAACTCCCCACGTCCCCCTTGATCATCACTACACCCCTGAGCCCGACACAGGCCTGGAACAGACTGCGCTCGCCAAGTACTTTAAAAAAGAATTATTTAATTTATTATTATTATTATTTTTAATTTGACTACAGAGAGAGAGGGAAAGTGAGAAATCAAGCTGCCAGGTCCAGGACTCGAACACCAGTCAACCACTGGGAATCCAAAGCCTTTAACCTCCACACCACCTTCCAGCCCCTCGACGAGTACTAAGTGACTGCGTGACTAACCAAAGGGCAAAGTTTCTCTTGATAGAATGAGGTCAAAGCTATTAGAAAGTGAAGAAAAGATAGCTAAAATTTGTGGCCAAGGGCCAGCCAGGTGGCATGGTGATTAAGGTACTGGACTCTCACATGGCGAACCACAGTTCAAGTCCCAGACCTGGCAGCTTACTTTCACTTTCTGTCCCTCTCTGTTTCCTTCTGGTGACTGTAGCAAATTAAAAATAATAATAATAAATAAATAAAATTAAATAAGTAATTCTTTTTAAAAATGCGTGGCTACTAAAGTATTCATGATCAATAGTTTATTGTTCTTCAAATCCTGCTAAATAGATCCATGCACCTTAGTAGTTAGACCTTAAATATCAGTCAAAGATGGCAAGCATACCAACGGCCCTATAGTCTATGCCAAACCACACATCCCTCATCCATTAAAACCACCACTGGGGCCAGCAGGTGACATGGTGGTTAAGGCACTGGACTCTCACATGGCCTACCGCAGTTCGAGTTCTGGACCGGGCAGCTTGCTTTCTCACTTTCTCACCTTCTCTCTCTGGTGAGTTAATAATAATAAATAAAATTAAATAAAATAACTCTTAAGCAATAAATAAATAAACATAAAAACTACCTCTCAGCCTGGCAAGCAGCGACATCAATACTGGAGTGGCATACGAGGGAGCCCCTGTTTCCACGCTGAGGCCCCTGAATGGTGAGTGTACAGCCACTGCCCCCAGTCAGTCACGGCATGAGCGTGCTAGGCCGGGTGAGAGCCGGCTGCCCCGTCAGTTCAGCCTCAGCTGGGCCATGCTTATTTATAAATCTCTTGTAACGAGCACGCAGCCCCAGTGGTATTCTCTTAAAAAATAAAAATATATATCTAATATCAAATAACAGTACAGATCTAACATAGACCTTATGTCAGTCCCTGCCTTATGACGGTGAATGTACAACTGTCCAGTTACACCGGTTTACGAGGACGGACCTCTGCGGCACGTTGAGGGGCACCTGGACGGACGATGGCTTCACTTACGATGTCTGGCTCTGGGATGGATTGATCAAGGCGTGAAGTGCATTTTCAACCCTCGGTGCTTTTGATTTACCCCGAATCTCCTGGGACCCAAGGCCATTGCAGGCAGAGAAGTGTTGTACATGGAGGTGTGCCGGCGTAGGTGGCAGCACCGGCAACGGGTGGCCTTCACGCTGGACCACAGACCCCCCTGCCCAGGAAGTGCCGACCAGCCTTCCAAACAACAGGCCGGCTCGACGCCGACCCCGGGGCCGCGCGGGACTCACGGCAGTTCCTCTCGTCGCTCAGGTCCCCGCAGTCGTTGTCGAAGTCGCACCACCAGATGCTGTTGATGCAGTTCCCGTTGCTGCAGCGGTACTGGCTGCGCAGGCAGGTGTTCTCTGAGCGGCAGGGGCCGGCCGGGGAGGAAATGAAACTGGTATTACTCTGGCTGCTCTTCTGCAGAACTTTCTGTTTTCTTGATTTTCCATTTCCCTTTCTCAAATAATGGCCTTAGATGTTGCAGGGGGAGGGCTACAGGGGCAGAGATGGTGAAGGGGAGGTTTACAGGGGCAGAGATGGGTAGGGGAGCTGCAGGGGCAGAGATGGTGAAGAGGAGGTCTGCAGGGGCAGAGATGGGGAGGGGAGCTGCAGGGGCAGAGATGGTGAAGAGGAGGTCTGCAGGGGCAGAGATGAGCGGGTCTGCAGGGGCAGAGATGAGCGGGTCTGCGGGGGCAGAGATGGGGAGGGGGAGGGCTGCAGAAGCAGGGGAGGGTGGGCTGCAGGGGCAGAGACATCTATGGGAGATGCCTTTTTAACTAAATATGACAGGACAAGGGGCAGGCTTGGAGGAAGGTTCAGAGGTGGTTATGATGACACCAGTTGTGTATATTAGGTAGCAAATACACATTTTATACATCTATGGATAAAAATATAAAATATTATATATATAGTACATGCTATGTACATGTAACATATGCATATGTATAGTTATACATATGTATACAAGATTTACATAATATGTAATTTATATAAATATGTAACTTATAAATACATAAATACGTATACTATGTAATTTACAAATACATAAAATTTGTTTAAAATATATTGGGTCTATTAGATAGCAAATACAAATTCTATATGTATACATAAAATATCTAAAATACATTGTATTCACATGGGTATATATGTAATACACTATATCCATATATACATGTATTTCCATAAATTGAATATATACAGATATTTTCTCTTTTCACTCTGAATTTTTTCTTTCTTCCGGTTTCTCTAAGGCAAGGAGTTACAATCTTTAAAAAAGAGAAGTCTTGTTTCGTACTCTGGGTCAAGGACATGTGACAACTGGCCTCTTGTTTGGATAATCAGAGGCCCTGGATGGGGAACATGGAGAAGCCTTCTCCCCTTCTCTTGGAATTTACTGCTGACCCTGTTTCTTTCCAAATAACTTCAAGATGGCATTCAGGGCTGGAAGAAAGTCTCCTGTGTCCCTAAGAAAGGAGGGCTCCTCGCTCTCCCACGGGCGTTTCTTAAGGAAGACGGACGATAAGGCTCCCATTGTGTCTGTCCCTGCCCTGGCTCAGGCTGCTGTGCAAAGCGAGGTTAGGATTACAAAGTAACTACGACCCTAAGACCAGGGGAAGCGGAGTCCTAGCCATCAATCCAGGCACTGTCCTGCAAGGCCCCTTCCAGGGGTTCTGCCTCACTCAACAAAAACATTGGCTGGGGACTGGGGCAGTGGTAAGGGTGGAAATCAGACAAGAAAAAAAGTTCAAGAGGTTTTCAGAGGAAAAAAACCCTGAAATCCATGTATTCGAATTCGAAGGGGAAGAAGGGGGGAGGCTGCTACAGGTAGTAAGTCACAGCTTAGAGTTCAAGGTCCAAACCCCCTTGGCAAACGCTGGTCTCAAAGTTCAGCGCGTGCTAGGCCAGGGTCTCAGGGGGCCCAAGGGCCAGGGGCTGGAGAACTGCTGGGTGGGCGTAGATCAACATCAAAGGAGTCAGAGAGGCTCTTTCCCCAAGTCGCCTCAGTCCAGAAGGGGAGAGCCGGGGTGTGAGGGGTGCGGAAGGAGAGTGGGAAGGAGGGCAGACCCTGAAGAAGGCTGCATCCTCCGATACTGAACGACAGCAGAGTCGCTGCTTTTCCATGAACGGCTAGACCTAGGCTGAATGAGGATGGAAGTACTGCCGGCCTGAGAAGCCAAGTCAGGACGCCCGTAAGTACCTAGTGCATTCGAGCTGGCCCCACGGCCAAATGGTTAAGGAAGCTGAATCCCACATGGCCGAATGCAGGTCAAATCCCAACCCCGGTGGCTTGAAAAACATGCCAGGCATCTGTGCGAGCATGCCGAAAGTCCTGACAGGATGGAGAAACGGGGAAAAAGGGACTGCGGCATGACAGGGGTGCTTTTCCCTCTCTGTCTCTCCCTGGCAAGTGCACGTGCCTTCTGGCCTTAAAAAGAGAAAGAAAAAAGTAAAAAGTTACCTAGTCTTGGTTTTTACTTGGGACTTACTATTATTTATTTATTTTTTTCTTTTGAAGAGAGATTTCTGCTTTAGGGCGAGTGCACTTGCCAGAGAGACAGAGAAACAAAGAGACGGAAAGTGAGAAATCATCCCCTGCAGGGGATGGTCATGCCACAATCCCTTCTCCTCCATTCTCCTCTCAGGATCTTGGGCATGCACGCACATGCACCTGGTGTGAGTTTAAGCCACCGGGTCTGGGACTCGAACCACAGTCGACTACACGGGAGTCCAGCGACATAGCCATTACACTAACTGCTGGTCCCTTTACTTGGGACTTCTTATGATAACTCAGAAAGGTTGGGGACAGTAGAGCACTGTGAGAGAGATGCACGGAAGGGAAGGTGAGCGTGGGAGGAAAAGATAAAGGACATACCTTCTTTGACACAGGTGCTGTTCTTCAGCTGATAGCCCTGCGGGCAGTCGCACATCAAGTCCCCGGAGGGCAGGACGCTGCTGGACACGCCTTCCGGACAGCGGCAGCTTCTGCTGTTGTTGGCCATGGGCAGGCACAGCAGGCTGCAGGGTCTGGGCACACAGGCATTGCTCCCTGGGGAGAGGACAGACGCAGTGCCACCACGGTCAGCACAGCACGAGGAGGCATGGGACAGAATGAGACCCATCGGACACCTCATCTGACAGACGTGACACAGCAAGCTCAGAAAAGTGGCTTGGGGGTGGACGGTGGTGCTCAGCCAGGCTGAGCCACAGGAAGGGTCCCAATCTAGGTCTGGAGACCTACATGAACATACTGGGCACACGTGTCCCCTTGAATGGCTGAAGCTGGGGGAGGGGGGGATCAAGTGCCAGGGCCCTGCTGGAGATCTCTCAATCTCTCTTTCTCTCACGGAAGGAAGGAATAAACAAACAGAACAATAAAAACAGTAAAGTGGTGAGCTTTAGGGTCCCTTCTGAGCTGGCACGCTCTGCTGAGGGCCCTGGGCAAGGGCCTGACCCACAAGGCCATGGCCTAGCCTTGCCTCCTGGCCTCAGCTACGACAGAATGCCCCGAACCACGCCACGCCTCAGCCGCCCCCTTCCCTCACCCAGAGAATCCACAACTGGGTACACAAAAGTCAAGTGCACAGCCAGGGAGCCGGTGCCGGGAGCAGGACTGCAGAGCACGGGTTTGGCAAGCCAGGCCCTCGCCAGAGGAGAGCCGTGGAGGAGCAGCTCCAGTGCACAGATGGGGTCAGTTTACACAGTCAGGAGCCTGAGGCACACTAGGGGCAAAACAGGGGGCAGCCCTAGGAACCAGGGCGAGAAAGAGAGGGAGAGGAAGAAAGAAGGAAAGAGAGAGGGAAAGGGAGGGTGGTCTTTGCCTTCCCAGCTCCAGTCCCCATAAGTCTCAGCTATTCCCATCTTTGGGTTCCTCGTGTTTCCCTTTCTTCTTTCAATGACACTTTTCGCTTGAGCTAACTTCAGTGGGTTTTTATTCCTTAGACTGCCAAAGCCCTTCTAGGACCTCAGAGGAATGGCAGGGCCAGGACAGAACTTCCAGTTTCTCTTCTAAATTCCTTTGTGCCAAAGCACTCTGAAGAGCTAAGTGAGGAAGTGACCAGGGCGCTCAGCCACTGCCCAGCAGTTACCCACAAGAGGGTTATTGCCAGTCTGGTCTCAAGTTCAGCTGCCCAGAGAGAACAGCGGGTGTCCATGAAACCCATCGCTGCCCTGTGAGAGAGGGTCCCTGTGGACGGACAGAGATGGCAAAGGTGCTTCTGTCCCCCTCATCTCTCCGAGACAGGGGAGCAGATGCATGAACTATTCTGTAACAGCTGGTACTATGACCTGACTACGGAGTCGCACAGAAGCCACAGGGGGCTGACTCAGGGGCGCAACAGGAACGTGCTGGGCAAGGGATGCTGGATCCACATGCAGGACCAGGGTTCTGTTCCCCAGCCACCTTGCCCAAGCTGGGCACAGGTGCCCACAATCTTGACTGGCCGGGAAGGCTGGAGAGATCATGGCATGAGACCCCATGGAGGGTCTGGCTTTCTATCTGTCTGTCTGGCTTTCTTTCTGTCTGTGTGGCTTGCTTTCGTTTTCTCTGTCTCTCATGAATGAAAGAAACAGATATGAAAGAAAAGCCACAGAAATTGTGGAATGTATATTTTGCTCTTTTGCCTATGACTATTAATCAAGAAAATGGGAAAAATATGGGGCTCGCAGGTGGCATGGTAGTTAAGGTGCTGGACCCCACATGGCTAAGCCCATGGTTCAAGACCTGGACCTGGTGGTTTATAAAACACTCCGGGAGCACGTGCATGTGTGCCCCAAACCCCAAGAGGAAAATGGAGGAGAGGGAGTTGTAGCATGTCCTTCCCCACTGGGGGTGATTTCTCACTTCCTCTCTCTTTCTTTGTTTCTCTCTCTCTCTCTGGTGAGCACATGTGCCCTATGGCCAAAAAGAAAAAATAAATAAATCTTAAAAACAATATCTTTTTAAAATTTTTTTTAAACTGGGAAAAATAAGTACAAGAATTCTGATAAACTGCACTGACGACTTCGCGGTTGTGCAGCCTTATGGACAGAGACCCTGCCCCAGCCCCAGCCACGTGACTGGTTTGCTTTCAGCCAAGCTTTGGGCTGACTCGTGCCCATCCTGGCCTGCAGGCTGGAAACTCATTCCGGACCTGGGTGACCATACCGCTTGGGGAACTGTGGGCGTGTGGGCGTCCCATCTGGTTTTAACCGGCATCACAAATAAAAAGAAGAACCACAATGAGACAGTAGCAGTGCTGTTCCGATGACGAAGACGAGAGGGAGCGGCATTCGCAAACAGATACAGCATAGACACGGGAGAGAAGCTGCGCAGATAACTCAGCCCTCGCGGTTCAGTTCCGCAGAACACCCAGCCAGCCTGTGCAGAGCCCGGGCACCAGCTCCTTGCCGTGAACTGGGGCACGGGCTGCTCCTTGAATTCAAAGACACAAGTCAGCAGCTCCAGGAGGGAGCGCAGAACTGACCCAGAGCCACAACCAACAAAAACAACTTGTAATGGTTCTGGGACATGTCCTTTGTACTCAAAGACGGCGTATCACTCAACGTTCCTGGGAATCGAATGTAACCGAATACGGTGTTATTTTAAAATATTCAGTTACGGGATGGCATTTTCACAGAGGTTGTGCAAAATAATATCGTTTTCACACCCAGAGCCAATGTTCCTGCCAAACATCAGACAGTTCAGAGCCATCGGGGAGGCGGTGCTCAGGGGCAGACTCTGAAACCAACCCCGTTAGGCATTGGCCGCTAGAGGCTCACAGGGGAGCCGGGCTGCTTCAAAGATGCAGGAAGAAAATGGGAATTGGGGCCAACAGGTGGCGTGCTGGTTAAGATGCTGATCTCCCGGGAACCAGCAGTTAGCGTAATGGCTATGTCGCTGGACTCCCACGTAGTTGACTGCGGTTCGTGTCCCGGACCCGGTGGCTTAAAACTCACGCCGGGCGCGTGTGCGTGCGTGCCCAAGATCCCGAGAGGAGAATGGAGAAGAAGGGATTGCGGCGTGACCATCCCCCCTGGGGGGTGATTTCTCGCTTTCTGTCTCTATGTCTCTCTCTGTCTGTCTGGCGAGTGCACGCGCCCTATAGCAAAAACCTCTCCAAAAAAAAAAGATAAAAAAAAAAAAAAAGAAAGATGCTGATCTCCCACATGGCTGACCGGGTTCAAGTCCTGGACCCAGCAGCTTGAAAATCATGCTGAGTCTATGTGGGTATGTGCCCAAAATCCTGAGAGGAGAATGGAAGAGAAAGGATTACAGCATGGTCATCCTCTCAGGGAGTGATTTATCACTTTCCCTCTCTCTGTATTTCTCTGTCTCTCTCTGGTGAGTGCATATACCCTGTGACAAAAATCCTAAAAACACACACACAAAAAAAGAGAGAGAGAGAGAGAAAGGAAAAAAAGAGAATGGGGGGGACAGTGGGGTGGGGGAAAACAGCAGACGGTGTGGTGGCTGGGGCACTGGACTCCCACATGGCCAACTACAGTTCTAATCTTAGACCTGGTGGCTTGCTTTCTCACTTTACTTTCTCTCTCTCGCTCTCTCTCTGGTGAGTCCATGTGCCCTATAGTAAATTTAGAAATAATAAAAAAAAATTAAATAGATAATTCTTTTTAAAAAAAGAAAAACTAATTTTAAAAATAATAATAAAATGGGAATCCCTATGCGGGAAAGCCTGGATGGGGGGCGAGGAGCACTAACAGGGTCTCCTTACCCAGGAGATCCGCTGCCTTGAGGAGCAAGGAGCAAAACAGGAAGAGTGTCAGCCCCTGTGACAAGTGGGCAAGTGAGGGCCGTCCTCATCACAGACTGCCCCTGAGGTAACCAACACGGCCCTGCGATGTCACCACTGGGCACATTCAAAATGTCTTCAGATTTCTTCTTTGGAAAATTCCTCCAGAAACCGTTTAGGAGCCCAAACGCTACTATCGCCCTTAAGGAACTTCACACTTGGCAACTGTTCAAATAAAAGCCACCACAAGTGAGGAAGGTCTGCCCTCATTACAGACGCTTCCAAGCACGTCCTCACTGCAGGCTGGGAAGGAGAACCTCCACTGCGAAGTCACTGCAGCGACTCCAGAACACATCAGACACCTCACTACGGAACCTCTCCAAGGACAAAGCACCTACAGGGAACACATTCCAGTAATACTCTTAACTCGGTCAGGAACAAAGAGAAAAAGGACATACGTAAATGTTTCACGTGAACAAAATTCTTGTTGCAAATCCTCATCTTTAAACAAATACATCTAAATAAATACTGCCTATTACCACAACCCTGCGATACCAGGAATGGAAGACTGGGGGCGCAGGACCTAATGGTTTTATTGAAATTCAAACTTGGAAGTCTAAGAAGCCACGGTTCAAATTCTTTCCACTTACTACGTGTGTGACCTGGGTGGTCTAACTTCCACGTTCTTGTCTATAAAATGGAGATATTAATGACATCCATGGAAGTCTCTGGAAATACAAAAGGAGGTTCTACAAGTCCAAAAAGCACATTACTGTGGTGTTTATGACACAACACTTCCCTCATAAATACAGTTGTTATAATTAGTATTTTACACTTGGCTAATAAAAAGCCCTGCATGTGCTAGGAGCAGACAATAAAAATCTCACCGCCCGAGTCTCATCGGGGCTTGCCAGTCGGCATGGAGAATTTGCAAACTCTCCCGGTGTCCAAACGTGCAGGGGGTTAGAGTGAACGAGGTCAGGACCCGTGGCCAGCGGCGCACAGACAGTGCTAATGGCCAGATGGCACTGCTAAGGGTTTGATCTAACCCAAACTGGCTGAGAGGTGACAAGCTTGGGCTCTGGCCCTGTGTTTGTAGGCAGGAGTTTCCTACAAGTATCAAGCTCACAGCCCAAAGAGAATAAAAAAGAATCCCAAAGTCAAAATGCAGAAAGGAGTACAGAGGCCCTAGCCTGAAATCTCTTTTTAGACTTTTACTATAGGGTGCATGTGCTCGCTGGAGTGACAGAAAGCAAGAAATCACCCCTCAAGGGGGAGGGCCATGCCTGAATCCCTTCTCCTCCATTCTCTAGGGATT